GGTTAGAGAAACATCTTAGTTTGGGGTCAAATGACAACTTCATTAAGGTTAGGAGACTGAGGACTTGCTTGGTAAAGTCTGCCGTTTTTTGACCCATCCAACCACTCCGACCTCCTCCCTCTGTGGACTTTGTGGCCGTACAATAACATCAACCAACTCCCTATGCTAAGGTCACAATTACTACAGTCACTCGAGGGTTTTGTCACTTGAATTTAAAGAAACATTTGGGGTCATTAAGCTGAAAGGATTGATGCTGCTGTTTTTCTTTGGAGGACAACCTCGATTTTTCATACAGAACGTAGGAATGTATGAGGTGTCCAGGTCCCTTGCTGACCAAATTATACTAAATACCAAATTATCAACAAAGGCACTTCGATTCAAACAACAAATCATAAGAATTATACAAAAACTAAGTAGAAAAAGTTCCATTTAAACCAAACTTTTACCTCCTTTTTTAAACAGTGGTTGGCTTTTTAGTGTGCAAAAATAACTTATTCTGATCCCCGGCATCACCGAAAGTAAAGTGTTAGTATTAGACACATCGTCATCACTGCACAAGTCCCCATAACTCAGGAGCTCTTTTATTAGATTTCAAAACTTTCTTTCTAACAGATGTTCATTCTGTTTTTACTTTCCTCATAACTCACTCTGTCTCTGATTCTGTCCCCAGCACATGCTTGAATGCACACACAAAAGAGACCTCGTCAACCTAATCTACACAGATGAATGAACCTTACACTTCCCATGCTTTCTGAACATGCCAACATTTGTGACTTAAAAGCAAGCACAAGCAACATGTACCTCTATGTCTTTACTTTCTCACAGGAAAAAAATAAACAAACAAGCTTCCAAAAAGATGAAGAAAAACTTCCAGAGCCTGAAGGTAAATGAGGTTAACTCTGCTGACTGCACAGGTACTCACCCGGCACATTTTTACTTGATGTACACATTGCATTCTGTGTAAATATTGGTTGTGATGTGCAGAGTGTAGTGGTTTTTCAGATTCAGTGTGCTATCATGAAGAAGTGTGAATACAAGAGAAACAAGAAGAGGTCTTACCTGACTTATATTTTCCCAAAATCTATCTTTATGTCCTCTTATATCTGCACCAGTCTTCTTCTCTTCTTCTTTTACTTCCCTTATCTTGTCTTCGCTGCTTTCTCTCCTCCTTCCTTCCTTCCTCTAGTCAGTTTTGCTTCAGCTCCCCGGGGCGTCTCTGAGGAGGTGTGTGTCGAGTGTCTGAGTGTGTGTGTGTGTGTGTGTGTGTTGAAGTGTGTGGTGTGGTATGTGTGTGCAAGCTAGTGAGAGAGCGACTCCGCTTTGTGCTGCCGACCTCGGTGAGCGTATTGTTGCAACTGACTGAGTGACTGGGAGAGAGGGAGGGAATGTGTGTGTGTGTGTGT